TGTTAGAAGTCTGTGAGCGGTCTGTGAGAAGTGTGTGAGCGGTCTGTGAGAAGTATGCGAGCAGTACACGATATTATATTCTTTTATAATTCGATTTAATAATGACCTCATTCGAAAATTCCTTTAGTGTCACTGCACTGCATGTCATGTGTTCTTTCTGCATCTTTCTGAATTTTTGCATATGGCATATGCACATGGCGACTGTGTTTCTTTTGCATTATGCAGTGAAGAATGGAGAATTGAACTTTTTTGGAGTGCAGGCAAGACATAGGGCATGGGCATAGATGGCATAGGCACAAGCCCGGTATAGCCACGGGCTCAAGTTGGGTGCTCCAGGGGCGCTCAAGATATTTTTGGAGCAGGATTCGATATGATGCATCAGAATCCTTTGGCTCAGCCCGAGGAAAGCTTGCCAGGTCCTTGGTTGGATGAAGCAGAAAAGGACTGGGATGATATGGGCCAGGAGTCACTAGAATCAGAACAACTGCTCTCGCAGCTGTCGGATGAAGCTCAGGCCTGTCGCTCGAGTAGCGATACAGAAAGCGAACCTGAGGCCCACGCAGGAGAAGTTCCATGGTGGGTCAAGCAGCTCAAAGAGCATACGGCTGACTGCGGCTTCCCGATCCCTACCAAAAAACAAGTCCAAGTGGTATCGGCTTGCACAGGAGCATCAGCTGAGTCATTTGTTCTCAAGGTACGGGTTCGGGGGTTGCTAAAATCAATGTAGTAAATGTAGTATTTACTACTACTACTACTACTGCTACTACTACTACTACTACTATTAGTACTACTACTGTATCAGATGTCACTATAGTATACACTGTAGACCGTAGACCCTACTCTACAGCAGAGACTCTCTACTTTTTTCAGAACTTAACGAAACTCAACTAGCAGACAGTGTAGAGTAGAGTAGAGCAAAGTGCGGCAGCATAGGCTCTAGATTCTGGAATCTAGAAATTGTAAAACTGTAAGAGTGTCAGTGTCAGAGTCTTAAGGTCTAAAGTTTAGTCTAAAGATCACGGTTGCCCTGCCAGGCACTTGGGCTGCCGTACCATCTCATGAGTTGTTCCGACCCAAAGCTTAAGTGCCGGGATTTTGTGTGCCAGAACTTTCCCAAGAACCGCCCAACCCACTGGCATTCCACGCTTGAAGATCAAGATGCCAACCGGCCATGCTCTTTTCATCCTTATGCAAAGCAATGCATGGCGGTGCCTTCGGATCCAGATCTAATGCTGGTCGGCAGTCCATGCCATCCTTTCTCTACTCAACGATCTGATCGGTATGCTGCGAGCAGTGTGGAAGATCACCACGAGTTCGGCGTTTGTTTTGAGAGCCTGGTTAGTTTCCTGAAGACTGTAGAGCCTCGTGTCTGCATCAGCGAGCAGGTCGAAGGCTTTAACCGGCCAATCGCCAAGGGCTCAACAGTGACGCCCTACCAGAGGCGCGAGTTTTTGCATTGTGTGACGAGTGACTAGTGAAGGATGTTGTGAAGCGTCATCGCGCTTCTCTTCCTTTTGTTGTTTCCTGATGTTGGCGACAGGTCCAGGAACTTCGCTACCTGCTACCCGCTACCCGCCCTGTCAGGTGGATGGAGAGTATCAAATCTATTCCTTTCAAGAAAGGTGGCTATTACGTGGTGACCAAGCATTTGGCTATGAAGGATTGGATCAAAATCAACAGGGACAGGTGCTCCAGCCACGCTTTTGTTTGTTTCGGTTCTTCAACTCTCAAGTTTGTACAACTGTCTAGGACTTTGAGCGAGTAAGACTAAGACTAAGACTCTGATTTAGACTCGGGGTGGGTTCCTTTGTTGAGTCACTCAGTTGAGTCTTTGATGCACTGACCGCTGATTGGGTTCCAGAAGCAATGACTCTGATCAGACGATTAAACTTTAACTTTAACTGTAACTGTCCTCACCTCTTTCAAAACTGACTTCTAACTACTACTAGCTGCTAACTACTACTTGGATGTAGTTACTAGTTACTACTTACTTACTACTTTGTCCAATTTCTACTGCTACTGACTGCCTCATTTCATAGCCCACCGCTCACCTTTATTGTCGGCCCGGCTTCGCATGTTTGATTCTGGCTGGGATGATGCTTTTGGAGATGATGATGAGTGGCGCGAGAGTGGCGCGAGTGAGAGTGGCGTGAGCCAGAGAGGCACACAGCCATCCGATCAGGGTTGGGAAGATGTCTTCGAGGAGAGTGTCAGTGTAGGAGCAAGAAGCAGTTATGTTCCCTCACTGGGGGAAGACGCAGTCACGAAACGGAAGCGTGGAAGACCAAAGGGAACAACTGGCAGTGCCATGCTACGGAATGCACGGGCTCAATACATGGCTCAAGCGGCTCAAGCCGAAGCCGAACAGCCACGGGAGAACCCAAAAGCAGCAGACTTTTTACCTAGAGCCCGTGCTCACAAGGCACGGAAAAGACAACTTCGCTTGGCAGCGGCGCGTGGCGCCGCTTTGTCCACTGGTGCACCGGCAAATGCTGAATTCCAGGTTGATCCTGGGTCCGATGTGGTTTTGGCACCAGCTTTGTTGCAAAAGACATCGCCGTTCTGGACAGGGTTGATCGAGATTAGCCATGATTCTGGGAGCCCTGTTCAGACTGCACCTTGGGCAAAAATTGGCGACCTGTTATTTGGGCGTGTAAAAACTTGAACACAAATTAATGATTCAAAAGTTCAAAGATTCTTGATTCTTGGATCACGGTGTTAGTTTTTAGTAGTTGCTAGTTACTAGTAACTTAGTACTTAGTAGTAACTAGTAACAGTAACATGATTACATATTTTCCAAAAAGGCTTAGGCCCAGGCATATAATGACACAAGCATTCAGTCATTTGGTCAGAATCTGGTTCAGGCAATTGTCTTGGCCGCAAAATTCAGCAAAGAACATGGGACTGGCGCCGTTGATCCTCGCATAGAACTGTGCTTCAAACCAGGAACACCATTGATGACGCATGCTGCGAAAGGCAGCCTTTTGCACATGAGCTCTGACAAATCTGGTCAAAGCAAGTTGTATTGCATGAGTCGTATACCATATTTCTCGCAATGCGCTGCTTCTGCAGCCACCGAAGCAGGTTGCTTGATGTGGGGCCGCTTTCTGCAGCAAGTTGAGTCAATGATTTCCAGCGGCCGCTTTCGTGGTGTGACGCTGATTGTCAAAAGGCGGTATGATGAAACACCGATGAAATTGCGCTTGAGCCCTGGACAGACTGAGCAAGGGCTGCAGGCCCGAAAGCAGAAGCAAATGGAGACCTCTACACATGCAAAACTGCTCCAATCAGAGATGGCATTGAGCATGCTGTTGCAGGAAGTCGCAGAAACATCCAAGCCTCGGTTCTTGCAAATCCAAGGTCAAGTGCCTTGCAATCTCCAAATTATACAATCCAACACAGGCGAGTGCTTGAAAGCTGCTACGCTGCAGCATCTTCAATGTTTGCCAGGCTTGGACAAGACTTACCAGTATTTCGATTGGGTGTTGCAGCAGTCCTCTGTTGACCAGTTTGGTGCCAACGAGAGAGCAGAAAGAAGCCTTCTCCACGACAAGATGCAGAAAGAAGTCGTTGACACTGCTGACCCGATGCGTGTGAGCAGATTCAGCAAATATACGTCGCTCAATCCTTTGCCTTTCAAGCTTTCTATTTTCTCAGATGGTATGGCATGGCGTTGATATCAAAAAATATTGGTGGTTAGGTCAGGCTCTTATGGTGAATAGTTCAATAGTAATGAACAGTTCATGTCATTAGACTCTCGATCTGGCTGTCCCTTTTTTGCATTGATTAGTTACAGGTACAGGTACCGAGTATCAAATCAATAGATTCAATTCTATCTTGACTTCCCTTTCTTCTTGCGCGCTCAGGAAATTTTGCGATGTACACATTGCAGCAAATGTGCAAAAGAGCATGCTTTCTTTGGTTGAAAGCGATATTAGCGGTATGATTTCCTGCGGTTTGTGCCAGCATGGTGCCGGCGATCTTCACACTTTGAGGGGCATCTTGCGAGAAGTCATCAAGGAAGAACTTCAGATATGCTATGACATGCCTCCAAAGGAATGCTCAGCCCACCGGGAAACTGTTTATGAACTTTTCCTACCATGGCCAAAGCAGAAGCAGCAAAAGCAAAGGTCATCAGCGTGCTCCGTTGCCATGAGGCGTTATGTCTTGGGTACAATGCTCAATGGGGATATCAGCGATGAGTCAGCAATCCATCACTACTGTCCTATGAACTGCTGCCAGGATGAACGACATTGTCTTGACAAGATGATGTCTTGGGTTGTGTGGGCTCTTATTCCCACAAAGACCCCGAGATATACTCGTGGAAAGTGGCTTCAGCAAAGCCCTTGTTTGAATTGGTGTGGACTCCTTGCCTGCCACCATGGACTTCTTCAGAAAGTGATGCTTCGCTTCACTGGTTGTCCTCAAGCTGCCCCACAAACCCAGTTCAAAGAGGATCAGGAGGACAATCGGGCAGGATGGGACTTTCTGGAGGACTTGGGCGACTTGGGGTCAGGCGGAGGACCGGCAGCCACATCAGTTCCAACAGCTCATGAGCAGGCTCAGGAAGCAGGGGGCAATGAACAGGAGGACTGTGAAAATGAGAACGAGCATGAGATTGGTGCTGCCTTCGCTGATGGTGAAGCAAACAATACAAACCAAGAGTCAGAGACCTTATCATCAACAGACTGGCAAATTAGAAACAAGCAATACAAAAAGAAAGCTGGCTTGTGGTCGCAATCCAACCCTGGACCCCGACTTGCTGTGGCGGCTTCAATATTGAATGTTTCGAACCGTTTGCTGCACGCATTTCTCCACATCAGTTCTGATGAATGGGAGAGGCGGGAAGTGCTGAAGGAGGCTTGTGGAGGGCATCGGAGCTTCCGCTTGCTGGTAGCAGCCAGGAATGAAGACTCCAAAGTTTGTTTACGCTCCTTGGGTTCGTTGCTAAATCAAGCAATTGGTGGCATTTCTCACAAATGCATGACCGGCTACATCCGCACCCTCGCTTTCAGGTTGATCTCGCGCATGGGATGTGCGCTCCAGGCTCAACTATGCAACCCACGAAGAGGAGAGCCTTATCAGACGTTCTTGAAGCTTGGGGAAGAAGAGATTTCGCGAGAAAGCCCCCATTGTATGAGAGATGAATTCACAGCAGCTTTCAGAGATAGGTATGGTCCGGAGATGAATTCAGAAGCATTTGCAGTTCTTGAATCCGTAGCAAGACAAGTTGATCTAGATATTGCCCAGCTGGAATCCAAACATGCTGCTATACGAAGGCTGGTTTACACAAAAAACGTGCAGACCTGGGTGCCCGAATTCGCTATCATTGCAGCAGAGAGGTTGTGCCGTGACACAGCTAGAATCGAAGAGGAGTGGCGCACACATTCACACGTTGAAGATGATGACGCAGCTCGACATCAAAACAAAGCTGGTTCTGCGACCTCAACACCAACAACAAAGCAAACAAAACCATTGAAAAAGATTGGTGGTGGTGCGTGGCGTGTTTACATACATTTGCAACATTCTGGAGAACGCTTCACTTTGGAGACGGTCAGAAAGCTGCGTGATGGCTATCGAAATCTTTCAGACACAGACAAAAAAACACTTTGAGGATTTGGGCCGTTTGGCACACATTTCTTGGCAGCATGGCTACAGGCCTTTCCCTGCGCCAGAACGCAGGAAGCAACAGCAACAGCAACAGCTCTTAGATGCGCCTGCGCCCGTAGGGAGTGTTCTTGAAGACGGAACCATCGTCATGGCAGACTCCACCAATCCACAGTCCCTCCAGAAAGTTTCACTTATGTCGCTTTCTCTCAGGGATTTTGATGCAGATGTCAAACAAATTCGGCAGAGCTTCCGCAAAGCAGCCCAAGAGGAGAAGAAACAATTAGCTGAAGACAAGGCTTTACTGAAGCGACATTCGCGAGAGGCCTTGCAAGCCATGCCCGAGTTCTTCCCACGCGTTCCGCCACTGTCAACTTTTGTTGGAGGTGCCTCAAGCTCTGAAGCAGCAGTCTCTGCCACAATGACTTGGTTGCCTCCTTGCTCCGCTATGGCTCAGGAGTGGGCAAGTGACAATTTTTTTCATAGAGTGTGTATTGAATGTAAGGCCAGGGCTTAGGAGGGTAGGTGACTAGTGAGAGCAAGACAGGCTTCTGTCCTAGGTAAATAGTAAATAGCATTAAATAGAATTGAATAGAATAGAATCGAAATCATCAGAGAGCCATTCTCTTTAAGCCTAAGCCTTTAAGCCGCCTTTTAAGCATGCATACTGTGTGACAAGATACTAATTTGTCATTTGGCCAGGAGGCACTGGGATCAAAGAACAAATCAGCGAACGAGATGTCTCTCAAAGCAAAGCTGATGACTGCATGGGGAAAGCGCTCTGACCTTATCCAGCACCAAGACGGCTCCATTCGCTTTGACAAGACAACTTTGACCCGAATGTACAAAAGATCAGTTTGCATGAAGCAAGGAACCTGTGTGTGTAGATTGAGCCATCGCTCCAAGCAAGAAGCTTTCCAGATATTGCAGCGATTGATCCAGCGCATGAAAGTTCATTTTTGGAGTAAGAAGAAGGAGAAGAGTCCAGCGCGGCTTCTTTTGGAAGCGGGGTTTGTAGTCTTGAAGCTAGAGCCACAAGGTAGCGAAACTGAGGGAGAGGGTGAAGTAGAGGCAGAGTCTTTCTATTTCCACATCGGCTACATCAACTTCAAAACGTGGCGGATGGCATGGTCACAATTGGTAGAAAGAGATTTCGCAGAGGACGAGAAGCATCTAGTCACGCAGCGACCTGGAATCTTGCACTTGCAACATGTGCGCTGTTTGGAAGGACAAGATCGCAGAATCAATCCTGATACATGGTTCTCAATGCCTCTGGAAACATTGCCCTTTTGTTTGAATTTTGGTATCAAGTACCAGGCTTCCTACCACCGTTTGTTGGATGATGATGTGCTGTTGCCCAACGAAGAGATGAAACCTGGCTATGTAGAAATCCAGAAGCTTGAAGATGTCCCAGCTGAAGTTCTTTGGCTTGGCTCAGAAGCAGAGGCGGCCGTACGTGGCCAGACCAAGATTAATAAGACGACCAAGACAAAGGCCCAAAAAACAGAGGAAAAGAAATACAATGATGCTGAGGGAGGCCCTTTTGTTGACATGACAAGTTCGGAGAATGATGATGAAGAACAAGAGTCAGAAGATGCGATGCGTGGCCAGAAGACCAAGACGCGCGCCAAGAGAAAGAAAGTACCACCAGAAAATCTAGTCATGGAGTGTGACTTTGAGGATGAGAATGCATCTGGCCCTTTTCTGGATATGTCGGCTTTGGCGCATTCTGAGGATGATGAGGAAAAACATGACAACGCAGATTCTGACTCTTCATCATCATCATCTTCATCATCATCCAGTGAATCATCCAGTGATTCTGAATCTCAGGCTTCAGAGGATGCAGATGCAGACTTGCTTGGATATCTCAGTGATCAAGAAGGTGATGAAAAAGATGCAGTCGAGGCCTTGGCTGCAGAATGGGATGGTTTGGAAAAAGACTCTGAGCGAAAGGAGCAGCTTGACCAACCAGAGGATGGGCAGCCATCCGAACCTGCAAATGAAGATCCTCCAGCAGGGCCAGAATCTGCAAATGACAATGCAGATGAAAATGATGCCGTGGGAGACTCTGATGACGATGGAGAAGAAGGAGGTGGTGATCGAGCCATGCTTCGTGACTTGGGCATTCCTTTTGCCCGAAGACCTGGAGTCTATGAGCAACGGTTTGTGATTGAGGGAATTGGAGAACTTCGGTACAATAGTACTTCGAGCTTTCTCCGCGCACATTGTGACAATCCAGATCATGGAAGCTTCTGCCATCGCCGCAGAACATGTACTGGTTCCAATGGCAGGGGTGAAAAAGCAAGTGGCCAAGGAAGACCAATCGGAAGTCTGGTCGCATGGCTACTTAAAAAAGACTCTTGTGAAACCAGAGAATCTCACATGGCAATGGGGGTCCAGCCTTATGATTCCCGTGTGGCAGCCCGACAGCTGTTTTTGAGACAAGCGAATGCGGATAGTTTTTTCTAATTCGGCCGAGCGACCACAAAGGTCAAACGAAGGGCCAGAACCCCGCATGATTCCATGATATCTGAATTGGGGCCTGGGCCTAGTCCTAGGCACTTGCAAAAGCAAAGGCAAATGATTCTTTTGCCGCCTCTAGCCACTCTGCAGGAGTGATGTTCTTGGAGGCCCTCATGCACATGATATCGGCTTTAAAAAATGTCGCGCAATCACAAGTGGAAGTGCAATCAAATGTGTTGAAATGTGTTGAATCTCACAACTAGCTAGCAGCTGGCAGAAAGACTTGAGCGGAACACTGTAGCAGCATCAGTAGCAGCACAGCAGTTTACCAGAAGCGCTGACTATTGAGTTAGTTACTGGGATTTACTGGGCGCTGTGCGCGAGAGCGAAAGCAAGAGAGATAGAGAGAGAGAGATGGACCTGTTTGGAAGCAACTCTCATGCCAGGATCTTCCTTGTGATGTTCAGAAAGGACCTGTATACTAGATCTGACGTGCAAAAATTTTCCAAGCTCATTGAGGACAGACCACTGTTGGTGGGGATGCAATGCATGTTTGCAGAGTGTTTCGGAAAGGTCACAGGTTCAAGCGACTTTCAATTTCCCTTTC